TGGGTAGCAAACTAAGGATACAAATTTTTTTTTCTTTTTTTTTTCTTTTTTTTTTTTGTTTTGAAAAAGAATGGGTGCATTTTATGCTCTCATCATTTCATGGTGTGTTTATGAGTGAGTGCGTTTTACGCTCCATCTCGACTCACCACATACCTTCTTTCTTTTTCCTATTTGTTAAACCCAAATTTAGGACTAGCTTAAGAGAAACAAATTTTTTTTCTTTTCTTTTAAGGGTTGTTGTACACTCCTCAATCACTGCTTCGTCACAAATCTACACAACTTCTCAAGACATATTATTTCAACTACAAAGATTAAATATGATTGACTCTATTTTATGAAAGATTGCTAACACTAAGTCAAGGAATATGCTCACACAACAAAGTCAAGTTACTATTTCATGCATCACTAGACGTTCAAAGACATGACTTAAAGCATAAACCTTCCTAAAAAAAAATGCGGATTTCGTTTAAGGTGTACGTGGCGTTGTTTACCCGAGGTTGTCAAGTACTGCTAGGCAGTTTTTAAGGCGGGTTCTGGTTTCCAGCCGAATACCCTTAACATAGGCAGATTTTTTATTTTTTTTATTTTTTACATTAAAGACAGAACCTAAAAACAAACCTAAATCCCTTCCCCCACACTTAAAACTGACATTGTCCCAATGTAAGATGAAATGCAAAGAAAAAGCAACAATAACCAAAATTTAAATGCTAGAAAAGAAAACAAACTCCCCTTGGGTTGCCTCCCAAGCAGCGCCTTTGTTTATTGTCGTTGGCTCGATCCAAAGCTGTCGTTCTTGCGATGCACTAAGTAACATTCTACATCTCCCAGGAACACGTACTTAGGGAACTAGGGAGAGGCTTCAAATCTGGAATAGGGGGCCTGCAAAACAAAAGGTAAAGGCCTCTCGTTAGAAATTGGTAATGTCAATAAAGGAAGTTACCTGACTCTGTAACTTTGGAATCATTCCATGCTGCAACGTTTCCTGCAATCAGTACTAACAGCTAACTCCTCATTCTCTTCCTCAAGATGCTTATAATGGCAACTCCAATCCATCTTTTCCAAGTTCAAAAACTTACTGTGCTAAAGAATCAACACATCAATAGAATAAACAGTGATCATCATCATCATCAGGATATTTATGGATCATAAATATTAAATTTACAAGTACCATCAAATCCATGGTAAGTATGCCACTATGAACATCTATCTTAGTCTGGATTTTAAGAAAGGTCTTCCTAACAAAATAGGAGCAGTTTGATCACCATTCCATATCAAGACATAAAATCAGTAGGGAAAATAAGCATTAAAGTACCAGAATATCCTCAACTACACTAGGATAGGCATTAGATCCATCAGCTAATTGAATTACAACACCAGTTTTATTCAAAGGTCCAAGTTTCAAAGAAAGCATATAGAATATGGCCTGGCATTAATAGAAGCTCCTAATCTACATGGCCTTCTCAAACTAGTGTTACTATCTACAAGGGATAGTAAACATACCTGGATCCTTGCACTTCGCTGGGATTTTCTCTGAATACTGAGAAACATTCTCTCCCACTCTCACCTTTTACACCCTTTAAGTTTCTGTTCTCCTTAATGTGCACAATTCTTTCAAGAATTTAGCATACGAGGTACTTGTTTAATAGCATCAAAAGTGGAATATTACCTCGCATCTACGAAAGTCTCATACATATCTGTTTTGCTATCTTTCTAGATTCTGCTAAAGCTGAGGAAAAGGATGGTAGGTTAATGGACAGAGGCGGAAACTTACGCTTAGGAACCACATCGTCTTGGGAATGTTCTTCTATAATGATCTTTCTCCTTTTCTTCCTTACGATGCAGGGGTGCCTATTGGAATCTCAACCTCTTTACCACTCTCAGACGATGCACTTATTTTCTCTTGGATTTACCACCGTTTGAGAGGTAATCCCCGAACTTTGCGCCTCAACCTATTATGTTGCCACTGGCCATCTTATCTCCAAACTTTGAACCTGGCTCTCGTCTCCTGTTGAAATTGCAAAAGTGTTAGTTGCAAGAGACTTAACAATATCTTCTAAAGACATACCGAATTAGAAGTTTGGCTCGTTGTTGTCTAGGGGGTATGACGCTTATGCTGGTAATTGGGCGTTTTAGGTCAGGGTTGATTCACTTGTGATTCCCATAGCCAGATGGTGATCCCTCCATCCAGGTATATGTGCTGAATAGGATCATATTTCTTTGCGGTTGTCCAGGAAACCACCTGCTCATTCACTTGCTCAAAGGCTCCTCTTGAAGAGGTGGCACATTCAGTTGGATGCCCTACTACCGAACAAATCCCACAAGCCTTCACTGTGCATTACCTACAGCCATTTGACAACAAGAGAAGTTAGACTAGAGTTGTGTGTCTAGGGAAGAAATATTACCTCATTATCAGCCTAGATGGAAGGTGCAAGCCTATGCCAAATGTTGGGAATGCCGCCATATTTGCAATCAAGTTTCTCGCGGCCTCGGAGTTTATCCACCAAGCTCCTCCACTTGCAGATCAATCATGCCATACAGTAATGTAAGGCCCTCATAGAAAATTGGATAGTAAATGCTCACTAATTGATGATGGGGGCGCTTGCACAAATTTTTTAAAACGTCCCAGTATTCTGTAGGGACTCTCCGTTGTGCTGCCTTATACCACAAATTTCTTTCGAATGTTGGCCCTCGAAGCTGGGAATATTCTCCAAAAAAACTCTTCATTCGTTCCATGGGTTATAGTTCCGGAGGGTAGATAATAGAGCCAATCCTTAGCCGCATCCTTCAAAGAAAACGGGAAGGCTCTTAATTTATTTGCTCCCGTACCCGTAGGTTTCATACTCGTGCAAACCACATGAAGCTCCTTAATGCTGTGAGGATCTTCACCTGCAAGCCATGAAAAGGGGCAAGAGATGTATTAGTCCAGATTTAATCAAAAGTAGTAGCAGCATCTAAAACAGGAAAAGTTATGTAAGGTGTTGATTCAAATCAGGGGCACAAGCTCTTTCAAAGTCGATTTCCAGCCATGACTTTCTCTTAAATCAGATTTGCTTCCTCAAAAATTCTCCGAACTTCTTCTTTCTTAACTCGCACAAAGTGGTCTCTATTTGGGTCGAATGTAAATCACCAAGATGAGAGGACTGGTCATAAAACAAAAAATCCCATAAAAGAAAAAATGAAAAATAATGAAAACCACAAAAAAAAATAAAAATAAAAAATAAATAATTGACCAGAAAAACAAAAAAAAGCCAAAAACCCTATCAAACAACGTTTTTGGCCTCGAGATGGTGGGGCTAGATCCTACATAGTTAGTTAGTTAGTAGTTAGTTTAGTTTAGTACTAGTCTTGTCAGATTCGTTTCTTCGAAAGGTACTCGCACAGTCAATTCACCAAAAATCATGCCGAGTACTACTGCCAAATTTGAAAATAAAAAAAAAAACAAAAAACAAGAAAAATACAACAAAACACAAAACAAAAAAATCAACTAGAATCACTCCCGGCAACGGCGCCAAAATCTGGGTGCTGTCGAGGCAACCAATTAAAACCTAAAAAAACACGTAGTAGTGTAGTAGGGCGTTCCCACGAGAGTGTCTAGCCGAATTATGTTAGTGAACAAAGCTGGGGGGTTTTGTGTAAAACGAAACAATTCAGAAAAACAAAAACATTAATTCGAATCAATAAATAACAAACCTTGGTCTCGTCAACATCCACCATCGGAATTTACAACTGATCATCGCGAAGATAATCAATTCAACTGAATATCACGTTGGAATTATTTCCTATCTCTCCTTAATGTAATTAAAGGAAACAACGATCTAATTAATCTTACCACTACAAACACCCTAGACAAGCACCAAGATTTAATCTAGTGCAGCCTTAAGGTTAGAGAATCGATGAAGCTAACAACACAAACACAAGCGGTTGTATTTAATTTAGTTGAATGTTCTTCTTAAGATTAATGTCTTGACGCAGCAAATTCAAACCTAATTGCTTCCAAGTTGAGGGATCAAACAATACGGATTTGATATCTAATCTAGCAGTAGATTCACAATAATAAACTAGGGCCTCCTAGTAATTAAATGAAACAATCATAAAATAGGCATAGAAAAAACATCCAATACTCAAACACAAAAACACAAAAAAAATAATTAGATCTCAAGTTTATGATTCCGAGGCCTTCGTTTCTTTCGACCAGTTATAAAATCAGCCTCTCATGGCCATACCAAATTACAGAGGAAAATTTCAGAGAAGAAGAGGGAGGCGTGTGTCCCACACTAATCTGATCTCCTCCCAAAAATCATTCAAGTTTTGAATTCCACTCAATCTCCTAAAATATTATCCTAAATCGATTCTAATTAATTGAAAATAAATAAAGTCCTTAAAAATAAAATGAAAGTGGGTGCCAGCTGTAACCGTGTGCACATGTCTTCAAACTTCCAATAATAAACTGCCTCTTGGACTTGCATTACAAGGCAGATGTTCCAGAAATCGGCAAGTCAGAGGTGTCAACTTCAAGCCCATTACAACTTGATGCAGATATCTCTCCAAACTCAAAACTAAATAGATATATTCTTAGGTTTACAGATTTTGAATCATCTCAATCTGAGCTCGGATGAGAGAGTTATGCCCAAAATACGAAAAGTAAACTGTCCGAATTCACTAATTAGTTTCGTTTTGCAATTAACGCCTCATTGCTCCTAATCAAAAAGAATAAAAATGTAATTTAGGCACAAATAGGTATAAAAGACTAGGCATTAAGGGGGGAAATATGACATTTTGCATTCTATCACATGCTTCCCAAACACCAACCGAAAAGGTGACATACCAATGGGCATCTTATTGTAGTCCTATACGCCACAAGGTATCATCCAAATGCAAACTCCAATTTTTCTATTGGATGACGTCTTTTCAATGATGGTTGATCTCTCGATTTGACACTTCCGCTTGTCCACTAGTTTGTGGATGATAGGCAGTTGACACCTGTGGGTCACATGATACTTCTAGCAAAGCCTTACGTTGCAATTCCAAAAGTGAGTGCCTCGATCACTTATTAGAGCTCTTGGAATTCCAAACCTGGAGAATATGTTAGACTTGATAAAATCTGCAACAACTTTAGAATCATCAGGTCTGGTAGCTTTAGCTTCTACCCATTTCGAGACATAATCAATAGCAAGCAAAATATAAACATAACCAAAATATACAAGGAATGGTCCCATGAAATCGATGCCCCAAACATCAAAAATTTCGCCAAATAGTATGGGGGTTTGTGGCATCTCATTCCTTTGGGATATATTACCTGTCTTCTGACAATTATCGCATGACTTACAAAAAGAAATATGAATCTTGAAATATAGATGGCCAATACAAACCACATTCTAGCACTTTTCTTGCCGTCCTCCTAGCTCCAAAGTGACCTCCACATGCATAAGAATAACAAAAGGTGAGAATGGAAATAATTTCATTTTCATGAGCGCACCTTCTTATCACTTGATCTACACAATGCTTCCATAAGTAGGGGTCATCCCACACATAGTATTTGACATCACTCTTGATCTTATCTCTTTGAGCCTTAGACAAACCAGGAGGTAAGATGTTAGTAACCAAATAATTTACAAGATTTGTATACCAAGGTAATGTCACACTCATGGAGAACAATTGCTCATCAGGGAGCTTTTCTTGCAAATGAAGTTCATCCTCCATATGAACTAAACGACTCAAATGATCCATGACACGATTTTCTGTCCCTCTTTTGCCTTTGATCTCCAAATCAAATTCACTCAAGAGAAGTATCCATCTTATTAATCTTGGTTTTGCCTCTTTCTTCGTCATCAAATAATGTAGAGCTGCATGATCAGAGTGAACAATAATTTTAGTACCAAGCAAATGAGATCGAAACTTTTCTAAAGAAAAAACAACAGCTAAAAGTTCTTTCTCAATAGTGGAATAATTTCTTTGGGCATCATTCAAAGTCCTTGAAGCATAATAGATGGCATGAGATGCTTTTCCAATCCTTTGTCCCAAAACAGCACCTACTGTATAATCACTTGCGTCGCACATTATCTCGAAAGGAACGTTCCAGTCAGGAGGCTGGATAATTGGGGTAGAAGTCAACAGTTCCTTCAGCTTATCAAACGCCTCTTTACATGCCTCATCGAGCTCAAAAGCCACATCCTTTTGCAGCAACTTACATAGGGGTAATGCTATTTTGGAGAAGTCCTTGATGAATCATTGGTAAAAACTGGCATGTCCAAGAAAAAAACTAACTTCTCGCACACTAGTGGGATAAGGTAAAGATTGAATAATATCAAATTTGGCTTTATCTACCTCAATTCCCCTAGATGAAACAACATGACCCAAAAACTATACCTTGGTCAACCATAAAAATGACATTTTTTCAGAATTTAACACAAGGTTAGTTTCTATGCATCTTTGAAGAACAAGTGTAAGGTTATGCAAACAATTATCAAATGAGTCTCCATAAACTGTGAAATCATCCATAAAGACATCTATGATATGCTCAATATAATCTGAAAATATGCTAACCATACACCTTTGGAAAGTGGCTGGGGCATTGCAAAGGCCAAAGGCCTAACCCTTGAAAGCAACAAAAGTAAATGGTGTTCTCCTCCATCCATTTTGCATAATTAAGTAGAATCTCTATATTGAAAATTAACTCAAGTGTTCTGATGTGCAAAAACAAAGAACACAAAGACAGATTTTATTTTATGTTTTTTTTGGAGTACAAAAATCCAAGCTGGCATTCTAGCAAGTAGAAAATAATATATAATAAAAAGAGAACAAGAAAATTCAACGTACAACTAAGTGATGAGAAGACATGATAGATATAACAAAATAGAAAGTGATTTTTCAAAGATTGGTTAATATTCAAAAAGGACAACTTGGCCGCAGAAAAAAATTATTATTTCCATTAGAACGTGAACACTTTTTTGTAGTTGACGAAGAAAAGACAAGCAAGAAGAAAAAATAATTTAAGTTTTAGGCAAATTTCTAGTTTAAGAATTTGTATTAGAGAATATTTGTTATCCTTTTACTTTGAGTTTTATTAGGAAAGAATAATTGGTTTAGGATTTTATTTAGAGTTAAAATAGGATAAGGGCAAAAGTTTCGAATGGGCATGTAAAAGTCGTCTTCTCTTGATCCTCGGGAGCAATTGCAATATGAAAATAACCTGAATAACCATCAAGGAAACAGTAGTGAGAATGACCAGCTAACCTTTCAAGCATTTGATCAATAAAAGGTAAAGGGAAATGGTCCTTGCAGGTTACAGCATTTAATTTTTGATAATCTATACAAACCTGCCACCCATTCTGAACACGGGTAGGAACTAACTCATCATTCTGATTTTTCACAACAGTTATTCCAGTCATTTTAGGAACCACTTGAACAGGGCTAACCCAATTGCTATCTGAAATAGGGTAAATCACTCCAACTTCAAGAAGTTTGAGGATCTCATTTTTCACAACATCCATCATGGGCGGG